TGGTTATTAATTTAAATTTATTCAATTGTATCTTTATTTAAAATTATAAATTATTTGTTTGTAAATTTATATAAAAATTAAGCACTCATTTAAAATTTTTGCTTGTTTATTAGCTTTATATGAAAAACTATGCATAAATCAAAATTTTAATTTTATATGAAAAATTAAGCACTCATTCGAATTTGTAGGTTGTTCAATTAATATAAGAAGCCAACTACAAATCAAGTATGATCATTAAAAAGTTGAAGCAAATAAAGTATGAATATATATGTGAAAGCTTGGCTCGAGCTTGAATTGAATATGAACAACTTGTGATTTGACCAAGCAAAGTCCAATCCATGTCATACTCAACTCGGTTTGATTATAGCCTTATTTGAGTCTTTAGATTAGATCCTTCTTTTGAGATCTGAAACCTATTGGGATATTTTGGGTTAAGTCTAGGCCTTTAGGTTAGGTCAATGATAGTTTAGCATTAAATAAATCAAATAATACCACTTTAGATCCCGATATTTCCATCAAGCTTACCACAATACTTGATTTATCTATTCAGACTTGATTGTGGGTTTATTAATGATAATCAGGTAAATTAACTAGTGTTGGACCCAAGAATTTATGTTTATTCAGATCTCTGCCAAATCCTTTAATTGCAAATGGCGTTTGTTTATGATTTTTCTATAAATCAATCGATGCTAGGGGTGTCAATTTGGTTTGTTATTACTAGTTCCTAAAGTTGACCTGACTTGAATATGCTTGACTCAAACCTATCCAATTTATTATATAGGTCAAAATATTTGACTTGAATCTAGCTCAATCGAAACCTAAACTATTTAGCTCATTTATTATCTTGATCATAACATTTTTTTGTCAGCTTGACCCAATTAACTTGGATATGGCCTATTTAACCCAATTGACCTAGCCCAAACTCACATAAACAAAGCTTGAATAGTATAGGAATTTAGGGTTATTAAAGTCAACCTGAGCTCAACCTAAATAGTATTTGGGTCTGTAATTTGACTAAACTTTTTCTGAATAGCAAGGGTTAGGGTTGAACCCAAATTCGAAATTTTTTTTAGCTGGGTTCAGGTTGTGTAATTTTTTGACATCTCTAATTTTATTATGATTGAAGTTGAATTTGGGTGGCCAGTGTATCAAAGTTCAATTAGGTTAGGTTCAATTGACTGTTTACTGACTTAATCACTTAATTTGATTAGGCTAGTTAGATCAGAAGTTAACAAGAACTTTAATAGTTCAACAACTGACCATATTGACTTATAAATGTTTGAAGTGTGGTCCATTGACTTAGGCTAACAAAAAGGGTATAGTAATAAATTTATACTAATTGTACCCACCAAGACTTTAAATAACCTCGATCCATGTTAAGGAATTTTTGAAGGAATAATGCTGGATTTTTGAAAGCTTAAAGCAATGCAGGGGACATCGGCAAACCATTTTTTGGTCTTGTGGGTTCATTAAGGATTTATGTTGGTCAACATAGGGACAATTGTCCTACCTCTTGATCCTCAGGGCTGGGTTAGGTTCATTAACATGGGCCTAGCATGATTTGTTTCTCTCAAAAAATTAAAATCCTCTCAAATTGAGTTTAGTCATCTTGTACCCTTTATATAGCCTTATACGTGCTATGCACCCAATTGGTTTCCAAGGCATAATTAGGAGTTCAAAAACTTTAGATCAGACTTTAGGCTTGTCTTTGGACTTGAGTTTGGGCTTGATTTAGCTAACCTATGTATTTCATGGGGCTTGGATATGAGCATGGTTTGATGAAAGAGAGAATGCCAGCTTTTGTATTGGAAAGAGAAGTGCGAGGCACATCTTCTCGATAGGTGAGTCTTTGTTCTCCCATCCACCATCATGCGTGAAAGAATATCTTGTCCTTTCCTGCCTTTCATCATCATTTTTTTTTGAGTCCATTTATATAATTCGGCTTGCTAGTTGTCCAAGCCTGAGTTGCATGAAAGGGCCTTTCATATTAGTACTTGTTGATAGCAATGTGTTGTTTAGGAGCATTTACATACATCCCACCCAATTCCTATGTCTTTACATATCTAACACCTGAACTTTACTTTTTTTACATTTTTACCATCCAAATCTTTTATATCACAGAAAACAACAACAACAACAACAACAAAGCCTTAATCCCACTACGTGGGGTCGGTTACATGAATCCTTTTTCTCATTGCGTCCTATTATTGCGTCCTATTTAGTCTCATTGCGTCCTATTTAGTGTCATATTTTGATTTAGTTCTATTAAATTAAGATCATTTTTAATATAATAAGCCCAAGTCTTCCTAGGTTTTTTTTTTCGAAAAGATATCACAGAAAAGATATCACTAATTTAACTTTTAAAAAGTGAACTACACGTGGTTGAATAATTGTTGTTCCTCTTGTTATGTAGAGTTAGAATGAGGAAGCAGGTTGATGTAATTTGTGTTTGTGTGCATGAATATGAGTTTGGATTATATATAATTTATCAGATTTTTTTTCTTTTCCAAATAAACTAAACATAAATGGCGTAGAACATTTGGAGGCCACATTACAACCGAGAAAGCAATATGCATGCATATTGTTTTGGATTTACTTTTACATAGGAGAGAATGTATTTTTTCTCTTAACACCCGGTGATTTATTGCAAAACCTGATTTTGACCTTTAGCATGCTCGGTCTGTTTGAAGTCTGAAAAGGTGCACCCCATAAGAAAGTCTCAGAAGGATTTGATGTAAATAGCCATAGCCCCAAGGCTATCAAAATAGCTCGTTGCTTGCGAACAGCTTGTGTTCGACTCGTTAAGTAGCTCGTATTCGATTCATTTTCTAAGCAAACAAGTTGAACACAATTTATTTGTGCTCAATATATAAAGGAGCTGTGCACGAACAAAGTTTTGTTCGTGTTTGACTCAAAATAATTTAACTATATATACATATAATTAATGAGTATTATTTTTAAATAATTTAATTGACTATAAAGCCACAAAGATTTATAATCATTTAAAATAACTAATTAAATAAGAATAAAAATAAATTAAATTCTATTTGAATGAATATTTTCATATAAATAACAAGATTTAAGTCTTGCCCTACGCTTAACATTCTACGGCTGTGCGACTAGAGTTGTCAAAATAGCTTGTTGTTCGTGAATAGCTCTTGTTAGACTCGATAAGTAAACGAGCCAAACACGAATAAATTTTTGAGCTCGATATATAAACAAGCCAAACACGAGCAATGATATTTTTTAACAAGTCGAGTTCTTTTCCACCCAAACGGCTGTATGCATGACTAGGGTTGTCAATGCGTCTCTTTATTCGCGAACAGCTCGTGTTCTGCTCACTAAACAAACGAGTTGAACACGAACAAATTTTTTTGTATTCGAAATATAAACGAGCCAAACCCGAACAACAATATTTTTTAACAAACTGAACTCGAGTTGAGTATGAGCTCGCTTGTGTTCGGTTTGTTTACACCCCCCTACATAGCCTTACATTATAGATAGGCTAATTTTGAAGAGTGGTCAATGTTGAGAAAATGGAAAATAATTTACTATTATGCAACACATGTGATGCATTTAGGTGAGCTTTATTGAATTTCTTTCAAGGACAGAACACATTTACAACACTTTTTAACTAGAGATGGAATGTCTCGTGATCATTTGGAGCATTTTTGGCTATGTGTACGAAGATTCAATATTGATTTGATCCATGAAGAATGCATTCGTATGCTATCTATAACTAATTTAAAATATTTTGTTTGTAAACAATTGGAACTAAAACTTAGGGCTGTAATCGGGCCGAGTTGAGCAGAGCATGTCATGGATTGGACTTAGCTTTGTCATATTATAAGTTGTTTGTGTTCAGCTAGAGCTCGAGCCGAGTTTTCACATGTATGTTGATTTTTGGCTTGTTTAATTTTTTTAATAATCATACTTAACTTTGTTTATATTAATTGATCAAGTAAATTTTCTGATAATTAAATTATATAAATTTAATAAACTAGTTCATTGAAATAAAGAAATAAAAAGAAATCATATAAATTAATATACATATTGATATTAAATTATAATATATTACTATTAAATATATAACTAAAAAAATTATTGTTAATTAATTTTTTTTAAATAATATATCATAATTAATATGGCCATCATCGAATTTATAATAAACATTAACAGGTTATTTATTGAATAGCAAACGAGTATATATGTAAACATAAATAAATGAGTTGAACCATGTTTAAGATTAGTTCATTTAACCTTTCAGTTTTAAAAATGTTCAGATTTGTTTATGTAATAATTTGAACTAACTTGGTCGAGTACTAATCATGCCATGTTCGAGTTGGTCTTCAAGTGCACCGTTCATTTACAGCTGTGCTAAAACATAAGCAATATGTTTGAAAAACCTGTTTCTTAGATGATATGTTCCTGTGGCTTTGATCACCTCTGTGCTAGCTTTCATCGAGGCAATTCCATGTGATTGAATATTCCATGATATAACCATCTTCAAAGAGTTCAATATAATTCTACAACTAGGTCATTATTGTTCGCGAGAGGTACTATAGTTACAATATAATCAAATGGCTTGAAAACAATAGAAAAAATCATGTTTATCATTGTTCTATTGAAAAAGAGCTTTGTCGTCATCGTTGTTGTTGTAATCAATTTCTTTATCTAACCATGTAACACTAAATTCGTTAAACTCCTAAACCTTTATGAGCCCGTTTTTAATGGCTGAGAATATCTATTAAATTTGTTGTGATTTTTATGCTGGAAAAGTTGATTTTTTGCAAGTTATTTTTGGTATTCACTTTGCATCATAAAAATGTATGGAAAATAACAAAAATTATAACGGCGTAAGAATGTTGTGTAAAATAACCGTATGAAAGAACAGTCCTTGATTCCTACTTCATTTTAACACCTATCTTATGCTGTACTGTACCACTTCTCACAAATGCCTCCTTACTCTTCATTAATTCATCTTTCTACAATTTTATCAGGTTTGAGAAGAAAATAAGGTATGCCTCTCGCAAAACCAGGGCGGACTCTAGAAGGCGTGTGAAGGGAAGATTTGTTAAAGCTGGTGAAGCTTTTGATTATGATCCACTATCCCAAAGCTAGAAGCTGCAGGATCTACAATTTAAGAAAGCTCACCATTGCACAGCCTAAAATCTCCTTTCTTTTTGTCAGATATATGTTAATTGAATCTGATTGCTTCTTTTCACCTTTTCAATTTGCGATGAGGACACCCAAGAATATTGTTCCTTCTAACAGCTCTTTCCAGTGTGGATAAAATCATGTTAATATATTTGACTTGGGCCCTCTTCGTTACGTTCTTCTCCAACACCGTTTTTACTATTTCTGGGTTAACTGAAGGTATGCATCTCCTACGGCTTGGTCCAGTAGTTTTTTGCCCTTTGCCTTTGGTAGTTTAATTGTTGTCTTAACTTTCAATGTAAAAATTTTGTAAATTATAATGATTGTTGTAAGCTATAAGGAAGGTAATAATCTGCATGTATTTAGCACCTGAGAGAGCTATATTTGTATCGGAAGGCTTGAGTAAGAACTGTGAGGTTTGTATTCTGTATTTTTGTTGCAGATAATTATACTGTAAATTGTTGCTTTCTGTTCAGCCTTATGCCATCTAAAATTAAGAGTGAGAGAGAAATAATTAATTGCAGATCTCTATAGAATGATTTGTTACAATGCTATAAAAAAATTTGTTTTTTTTTTGTTACTAGAATATTGTTGATTTTATGTTTTGACATCTCTGTATATAGTGCTTTGTGATGTGTCTAGCCTTTCTTTAGCCGTGAACAGAACTTTTTGGGTATTTTAGCGGCTATTTGTCATTATTTTTATTTTTTATTGTTTATTTTTGTATATTTTCTTATAATACATGTATATGTAAAAACATATTATATTTTATTGAATATTTAACATATTTGTATGATCAAGCGGCTATTCCGACCAATTGAGACTAGATAGCTCTTGGTTCATACATCAATGGAAGTTAGTCGAGCGTACTAAGTCAGAAGTGGATTAAAAAAAAAGATGATTCAAAGCATAAGGTGGCTCATTTGCTAGGTCGAGTGCGAAGGATTGAGTATGCCGGTATATAGCAATGAAGTTGAGGATTTCTCCAAGATCTTAACTTTAGTGGGTATATGATTATTAAAGACGATTATATGTGCATAAAGACATAGGAATGATATAGATATAAATATGTTATCTTATAAAGGCCAGTCCTTTTGGCATTAAAGGCAAACGATATCTCTCCTCTCCAATCATTGAAACAGGGAAAGAAAATCACCCTCTAATCTTTCTCATCATCATTATGCTCATTTTTGTCTTAACTCTGGTAGACAGTTGTTCTTCTCTCTGTTTCTTTTCACCTCCTCTTCTCTCATTCTAGACATTCTATTTAAGAATTCAACAAAATTAAATCACATGATGATGATATTGATAATGAAATAGCCACACTAAACAATAAGATAATAATGGTAGCATTGTTGATAGTAACGGTAAGAGGGGAGATGTTAATGAGTTATCTGGACTATGTCATCATGTTATTATCATAATCTTGTTACTTGTAGATGAGTTGTCACCATGAAGTGTTTGACCAAGTTATAATATTTCTGATATGGTGGATTAAGGGGGAATATGATATGCCCCTTTAAATGTTTAGTTCGTTTTATATTTTGATTTGTTTGATTATTTGAAATTTTTATTGTTAAAAGTTTAGTTGGTTTATATGACTACATTTAAAAAAAAATCGAAATTTATTTGCTTAACTTACTAAAAAACAAAATAAATTAGTTCTCAAGAACACCATGGAATGTACGATATTACGGTGTTATAAAATGAAATTAATATCTAAACTTTGATAGTTATATATGTTATAAATTTAAATTAATTAAAAAAATAGAATAATATTAATTTTATTATAGTACAAAAAATTTATTAACATGTTTTGGTGTAATTATGATAGTAAAATTCTATTAAAATGAAAACTAAAATTCAGAAGGATAGAAAACATATTTAATTTTTAACAATCTGATTTCGAGCAGAGTTGGGGCAGGCTTAAAATCGGCTCGAAAAAATTTCAATACAAAATTTTGGCACGTATCTCGGCTTATATATATCAATCAGATCCAAAATTCGAATCAATTTCTTGAGCGATTAATGTTCTTTAAGCTAAATTCGCATTCATATGTTTTTAACGATTTGATGTCGAGCTGAGCTAGGGTTAGCTCAAAGAAAAAAATAACAATTAAAACTGATGAAAGCAAGAAAATTAAAAAAAAAAAAAAAGTTCGGTGACTGTGCTCTCAAAAAATTGCAATCTAAATTTTTAAAATAGAAAAAAAAATATAGGCGTGTGAAGAGGGACATCAAAGCTCGCGATTGAATCAAAATGAGTATTCGAGAAATACATATTAAGTAAATATTGTATTTTAAAATATGAAGCTTACGCAAGTTACATAAAATTATACATTTTTTTTTTATTTTGGACAACCTAGTAGATATTATTATAATTAGAAAGAAATTACATAAAACTATACATTATTAATTTCTTAGTTTTCTTGTAATTTTATACTTTTTCTTTATCTTTAGCGCTTTCAGTACTCACTGCTAAGTGAGTTTTGTATCTGAACTTTTGTTTTTGTTTGAAAAGAATTTATGCATATGCAGTATCAAATATGTGGATGTCATAGTTTTGTCTTAAACAGTTTTAATAAACAGAGGCATAATGACTATTTTTTCAAAAACAACAGCTTCACAGTTGTTTTCACACAACTGTAACAATCAAACAACCAGCTTCCTCATAGCAGTTTCTTGGGGCAGCACAGCTGTAGTTGAAAAACTGCGGCCGTCTCAAATAGACCCTTAGCCAAATTAAGTTATAAACTATAGCATTTCCATCACAACTTTTTGAGAAAGTAGAATAAAGTTGTTTACCCACCGCACTACCACTACCACCCTAACAACACCCTAAATTGATGTTTCTTTTTTCAGTGAGTTGGGATGTTCCTTTTGGATTCACTTGGGACTTTGCTATCGAGTCTTTGTAAGCATGGTTTTACAAACTTGATCGGACCAGCCGATTTAAACGATTCAACTGTTAACCAGTCCCTCCAAACTTAAAACTGTTTTTACATAGATCAGGTTAGAACCGGGGTTGAACCGGTCCAATTTTTAAAGAACTAGCCAGTTGTATTTTGCCAATTTAATCCTTATTTTGATCAGATGACGAAAAATAATATATTTCAACTAAAAAATAATATAATAGCTTTTCTCAAAATTTTGATTTAAAATATTACTCAAAATATGCTAAAGTTGAGAGTATTAAATTAAAAAAAATATATTTTTTTTATTGAATTTATAAAAATAATAAGGGCATGTACATTTATATCACTCACTTATTATGTATGTACATATATACTACCCAAACTTTGTTTTTTTACATTTACACCACCGAAATCTCTCGCATCACAAAATAAAAATACCACTATATTAACTTTAAAATAGTGAAATACATCTTTTTTATGAAAAGTTAACGTGTTATACATGTAAAAATTGAAGTTTAGGCTTTAGATATGTAAATACAAAAAAATTGAGCGTCATGCATGCAAATGTTGCTTAATAATATTATTACATTATTTAAAAAATATTAAGATATTTTAAATGTTTATTATGCCATCGCTTTCAATCCCAATTGAACATTTGAATCTGAAATATTTTTCGGTTCGCTGTCTGGTCCACCTTTCACAACTTGGTTATAACTCAAGGGCAAGCTCGCTTCTTCTTCAACGCATCAAACACTCCTTCAGTGTGTCCATCCTTAGGTGTACGCTTTTTCCCTCCCAAAATTATCTAACCGTTGAGCAAAACTCAATGATAGACAAAAAAATTTAAAATGTATTCGGTGATAACGGTATTCAAATGCAATTGAGGCTTTGCAGATCCATTTTTGGGTTCTTTGGATTTAAGAATCCCACTACAAAAGCATCAAACTTCTCCACAGACCATTCTTTGGGTTTGTCTTCATTGTCTTCTCTAGATTGTGAAGCAATCGCTAGAGCTTTAATATTGTGCAGACAAACTCAGACACCCGGCAATGTTGGAGCTCTTCACGCCCAGGTAATCAAGCATGGATTATATCACCATGTTTATATAGCAAACAACTTGATATCAATATACGCTAGCTTCGATCATTATGATGATGCGGCAAAGTTATTCGTTGAAATGCCGGAAAGGAATGTGGTATCATGGACTGCTATGATATCATCACTATGTCATGCTGGAAATCCAGCTGAAGCTCTGAGAATCTTTGTAGAAATGTTGAGTGTTGGATTGGAAGAGCCTAATTGCTATACGTTTTCTGCGGCCTTAAAGGCTTGTGCAATGTTAAGGAAACTTGAAATGGGTAAGTGGGTGCATAAACACATTCAAAATTTTCATTTGCAAGCTGACACTACGCTGATGAATGCAGTAATTGATATGTATATTAAGTGTGATAGTATGGTAGAAGCTAGGAAAATTTTTGACATGAAATTTTCTCTCAACTCTGTTTCATGGAATACAATGATTTCTGGGTATTGTACTGCTGGTGAAATGATTGAGGCAGAGAATCTGTTTTGTCAAATTCCAATGCCTGATGCTGTTTCATTCAACACTATGGTTATGGGATTTGCAAAAAATAAGAATTTTAAAGCATTTTATTATGTTAATTTGATGCACAGACAAGGCTTTAAGCTTGATTGCTTCACCTTACCTTGTGCTCTGAAGGCTTGTGGTAGCTTAGGTGAGAGTGGAATGGGAAAACAACTCCATTGCTACATTGTTAGACGTGGCTGTTGCATGGGATCATCTCTCATTGATATGTATGGAAACTGTGGCCATGTAGATGCAGCACTGAAGTTGTTTGATGAGCGCTTTAATTATGAATGTTCAATTATCGACGGATTGTCCCATCTGAATTCAATGCTTTCTGTCTTTGCTAACAATGGATATGAAATCTGTGCTCTATATTTGCTTTCAAAGATTCATAGTTCAGGAGTCGATCTCGATGCTTTCTCCCTTTCCAGGGCCTTAAAGATTTGTGTTAACTTGAACAGTATCAGAGTTGGGCTTCAGGTTCATGGGTTAATAATCACCAAAGGATTCCATGTAAATCATGTTGTTGGAAGTATTCTAGTAGAGCTTTATTCCAGATGTGGAAACATGGAAGATGCTCTGAAAATATTTTTCACGCTTTCCCAAAAGGACTTGGTTGCATGGACAGGGTTGATAACTTGTTGTGTTCAGAAAGGGGTGAACCAATATGCATTTGCTGTCTTTAGGAATATGGTCAGACTTCAATGTGAAGTAGACCACTTTGTTGTCTCCATTATTTTAAAAGCTTGTGCTGCTCTATCATGTCTTCAAAGTAGTAAACAGCTCCATGGTTTATGCATAAAAGAAGGGTTTGAAATGGAGAGTGCTATCATTACATCTCTCATTGATGTATATTCCAAATGTGGTCACATAGAAAATGCTCTAAGATTGTTTGAGGCTTCAACTGAGAAGGACTTAGTCTGCTGGACCGGAATAATTGTGGGTTGTGGAAATAATGGAAGAACTGATGAAGCTATTCAGCTCTTCCATCTGATGTTGGAGTCAGGGGTGGAGCCAAATGAAGTTACATTCCTTGGAGTTCTTTCAGCTTGTAGACATGCTGGTTTAGTTAGCCATGCGAGTAGTTTCTTCAAAGCCATGGAACAGAAGCACGGATTAAAGCCTCTTTTGGAGCACTATTGCTGCATGGTGGATATATTAAGTCGTGCTGGGTTATTTGATGACGCTATGAGGTTGATTTCAGGCATGCCTTATGAACCAGATGAAAAAATATGGAATTCCTTGCTCGGGGCTTCTGTGATGCATCAGAATGTTTCTATAGGTATGCTTGCTTTGAATTGTTTGCATAGGTTTTGTAGAAAATATGCATCAGGATTTGTTTCTCTCTCAAATTTATATGCTGGCCATAATCTTTGGGGCTGGTCAGCTGAGATGAGGGAGCTTGCCATGATTGTAAGCCGGAAGGAACCTGGAAGAAGCTGGACAGAGCAAGGAGTTTTGTGAGAGAAAAGGTTTTGTACATCAAGCTTTCTTTACCTGCTTTAAAACATTTACATAAAAGGGCATGAATTCATAATTCCTAAAAAATTATAATTTCTCGATGTAAATAATTAAATTTAGTATATTTTTTTTCTTATGTGATTTAGGCAATCCAATAAATTTTCAGCTCCTCCTCCCCTCCCATGAGTTTAAAAAAAATGATACTTGGTGATTTTCCCACACTAAAAAATAATGATGGTTCTGCACCTGATTGTATTTTATGTTTTTTTTTTTTTGAAATTTTGGCGAATGTAATTCCATTTTGGCGAATGTAATTCCAACACACATAGTATTTGTAATATCTTAAATCTAAGACCTTTTAGTTGAAAGACTATATTTTCAATTGACAAACTCAAGTTGCTTGAATATTAGTTATTACATCTGTTTTACATTTAATGGAATAATTCTAAAATATTTCTATTATACTATATTTCTTTTACTATGCAATTTGTCTTTAGTTCCAAAGTTGTTTCTTATTTTATGTTTGTTCAATTTCTTTCATCCATTCATTGCCACTTAACATATCTTTTAAAGCATTACATCTTTTACTATTAGAAGTTAATCAATTGGGTGTCCAAGAGCGTATGAATCCATGGACAGAACGCTTCACTAAGAGAATTACTTTAGATCAATAGTTTTTTTATCTCTAATTAATATTAATCATTCATTTAGTTAGTTATTAATTTTTGTTTCCGTCAAAAAGAATTCTGAAACTTTAAAAAAATCATGTGACTTTTAGTATTCTTTTGGACACAAAAACTCGGGTGCTAGTTCTATGATTTGTGGAGTCCCTCATTAATGAGCTAATGAGCCCTTGTTCACTATTCTTGTTTCCAAATTTAGGCATATGAATAGTTACCTCAACTAAACATTCTGACGGGCAAATTAGGCCAGCTCTTACATTTACTAATCTGAGTGTTGGAGGATCGAGGAAATGCATGGGAACCTCCTTTTTGTATTAATAAAATTTCAACGCCAATCTTTGCTTCTCAATCGAAGACTATCACACTTATACTCTTATTAGCTTGTGATTTCTATAATAAAGATTACTTTCTTTGCCATCTTTATTATGTAGAATCAACAATACATCGAGGGATTCTTCTAATGTTATTGTGTACAAAATATATGGCTTTTATGAAGTTGGTGCTGCAAAGATAGCAAACTTAGCAGATACGTTTTGATGCCATCGAAGGCATTTTCACATTCAACATCCCAACTGAAAGGAGCATTCTTCTTCATGAGTTTGGAGAAGGTTGAAATCTATCTGGTATATTTGATATGAATCTTTGAATGAATGAATCATCCCAATGCAAGTAGTTCTTGTAAATAATGAAACTGGGAAAGACCCTTTGGAGAAGCTAAACCTAAAACTAACCTAAACTATCTTAAAATCTTACATATAATCACCCTATATTTAAGTCTACCTGTACTCTTTTAACTTATAAATAAGCAAACCTAAATTATAATTTTATGTTAATATTAGCTTATTAACCTAAACATAAGCCAAACTTAATTTAACCTTAATCTAATCTACACTCAAAACCATACCCACTATATTAAAACAACCCATGTAATAAACCTAATGTGAACCTAATATTAAATTAAACTAAATTAAGCTCAAAATTAACTCAATTTCAATTTAAGCCTAAAATAAATTGTGCCTAAGCTAATTAACCTGAATCTAGTGAATTAATTTGCTTCTAAGAACTAGAATGCAACTAAAACTAACCTAAAGCTAATCAAATTGAAAATCAAATTAGTCTAACTAAAATCTAATTTTAAAAGGAATTAAAAATTTAATTAAAGATAACTTAACCTAGAAGTGAGTCTAAACTAAAACTAGAATTTAACTATAAGCTAAACTAAAGCCAAGCACACATGAATCAATTTAAACCTAAACATTAATATGAATTTAAAGCCAACCCAATTTCTAATTAAATTAGCCAAGCAATTAACTTCTATCTCTCTAGGGATTTATGCCCATTCTGGTCACTTAGAATAAGTTTGATCAACCTAATCAATTGACTCGAGCCCAAGGCTTGCTCACGAGCTAACTCAAGAACATATTGCTCTTCCCACTGATCCAACCCACCCCTTCCACTGATGCCTAAAGACGAATTGTTCATGAGGATCTTCTGAAATTTTTAGCAATAGGAACCAGGTCAATTTGCAGCTTAGTGAGGTAATTTTCCAATATCTACTCATGTCATTCCCGATTTGAAAAGGCAATTATATTTAAGGATCGAACTCATTAAGCTAGAACCTTTGACCTAGTTTATTTGGAACTCAAGAAACACATTGCCTACATCTAGATTATGTAGATGGCCATCACTTTCTAATTGGAGTTGGGAGACAAAGTCAGGGTTGTTCATCACCTTTATTAGAATGGATGGCGCTGATTTGGCCATTCGTAGAGAATGGTATGCTCTAGGGTACCTACACGGGCCACTAGTGTGATGTTGTGTCGGTAGTTGATGCAATCTAATTTAGGAAATTAAGGATTTGACAGTTAGTTTACCTAATTAGCGAATCTAACTTATTACATTATAATTATTTGAAGAAGAATCCGAAAATTTTGGAAAAATTGCACAAATGCTGAACTTAATGAGCTTAATGCAAGAAAAAATAAAAGCCTCAAGATTTAATTTATAATATTGGTTTAATTTGAAAAATAAAAAAAATATAAAACCTCAATTAAACCTTAATTACTAAGGTAATTAATCCAAACTTTTTAGGGATTGTTCCGTGGTTCCATATTGATCCATAGGATTTTTTAATAAATTTTGGATCTTTAGATTAGCGATTTGCCTAATCTAAAAGACTTTTTAATTAAAATTAATATATTTTATTACACACAAACACACACAAATTTTACTATGTATATATATATATATATATATATAAACAAAAGGAGGATTTCTTGATCCATTGCTAAATGTGCCAGGAGGTGTGTTTTTTCCAGTCATGTAATCCACCATCTGAATAGAGTCCACTTCCACTTGAATTGGATTCCAATTGTTAAAAGAAGTCAACTTTATTGCCCAAAAGACAACAGTAGTTTCAGCCTCCATGAAATCTATTGCCATTATAGGTGATTGGAAATGCAATAAACATGCCCCATCGCGATCCCTGAGACCCCCCTGCATGCCAGCTTCATTTGGGGAAAAACTTCCATCAGTGTTGACCTTTATGAGAGGGCACAAAGGTGTCTCTCACATTACCTTGATAATATGGAACATCTGATGTTCAACATGTTTACAGATATTCCCCATTATGTTTGGGAACTTTTTCCATTGTATCAGTTTTCTGATGAAGGACAAGCAGTTAGCCACCACTCTTCCAATTATAGCTCCAATGTCCTCATGTTGGCTTGATTTCTTGCTGACCTGATAAACCATGCAATAATAAAAGGAATTGAGCCTAAATTCCTCCTGTCCCAATCCCCTCAGCATATATTCAGGCTCTCCTAGTCCAAGGTAAGCGTGCTGATGTGAAAATGTAGAATCAGCTCTTCCCAGACCTGTCTAGAGAAGTTACATTTAAAAAATAGATGTTGGGAAGACTCAATATCAGTTCTACATAAGTAGCATATGGAAGGTCCTCTCAACCCCTTGAGCTTCAGGATGTCATCAGATTGAATAAGATTATTCAGCACTCTCCATGAAAAGAAAGCCATGAAAGGTGTTAAAAGATTATTCCATATACTATCTTTCCAGGTGACCTCTTCCCACTTGTATAATTGCTGGTATATGTTCTTGGTAACACTGTGGTTGGTGTTATGGGCCAGTACCAACCTGTCATTTTGATCGCTATCCATCTGAATTTGCTTCACCTTGCCGATAGAAGATGCAGTGCGTACATTATGAAGTAAATTTTCAGACCAGGACTGTCCTTCCCAGCATTCATTCACTAGTAAGCTTCTATCATGGTTATCAGATAAAGGATTGATAGTACCTTCAGGACACCATCTGTCAAGCCAAAAGTTGATGTTTCCATGACCCTACTCCCATAGATACAATTGTTCAGCAGTTTCTCTGACCTTTAGCATCTTCTTCCAAACTCTGGAGTCTCCCTGCCCACTTGAGACCAAGTTGGGGTGAATATTTCTACAATATTTGGCAAACATAAATTTGGCCCAAAGCGTTTCCTGTTGTCTGAAATTTAGCCAAAGTCTGCTTATGCTGATCTGTTGCAAGTGTTGTAGTCCCTTAAATCCCAACCCTCCAGCTGCTAGAGGTTTGGCTACTTTCTGCCAACTTGCCTAAAGCATCTGCTTCCTTTCACTAGTCCAAAGAAATATGTTGAATGATCTCTCCAGCATTTATTATGTACTTTTCTTCATCACTGCCACCTGTAGGATGTACATGGGGAAGGTAGTTAAGACACTCTGTAATAAAGTAATTTTTTCCCCATTAGAGAGGAAGGAATTGGTCCAGCTTTGTAGAGTAGAGTGTACTTTATCTACTATCTCATAAAACTGAGTTAGCTTGGTTCTTCCCCTACGAAGATTTACTCCCAAATATTTAAAAGGGGTCTCCATGGCAGTGAAACCAGTAAGCTCCAAGATCCAATGTCTTGTGGCAGTTGAAGTTCTTTTGCTAAACAACACTTGTCATTTCTCCTTGTTCACCATAAGTCTAGAATTATGTTGAAAATCCTTTTAGACTGTTGTGCAGGCTCCTTGCAGCATTTATATTGACTCTGGAAAAAATTATTATGTCATCAACATATATCAAATGGCTAATGTCCAATTTAGATCTATGGTGATACATATTGTAATTCCTCCTTTGGTCAGGTTTATCAATTAGTCTGGATAGATAGTCCAAGGCTAAGATGAAAACAATTGGAGATAGAGGATTCCCTTGCTTTAACCCTCTGGTTGCTTTGAAGAATCCCTTGACTTTGCCATTGATTAGGAATGAATTAACATTCCATTGTAGCCATCTATTGATATTGTTACAAGAGTCAGAAGAAAACCCCATGGCCAGTAGGATTTCAACAATGAAGTCCCAGTGTATCATGTCATACGCCTTCTTTAGATCCAGTTTATAAATGA